AGACGTCCTGGATCGCGGAGAATCCTCGGGGCTCCGGAGGAGTTCTCGCCTACATCGTCCATATAGGACGACTCGGGAACTCAACTCCTACCCCGGGCAGCTCACCGATCCCCTTATGCCCAGGGGAAAGGTATCAAGCCGTTTGACAGCAGATGCTGGCTGTCAAACCGGCTTTTACGCAAAACAGGCGGGAGGCAGCTGCGACCAGCGAAATCGCCTGCCACCGGAAGTCTCCACGACCCATTCTCAATGTCCTGGCTGAGGGAAGGAGATTCTCACCCAAGATTTGACGGTACATGGCCCCGTCCATCGTCCCTTTGATGCGGTGAAGTTGTCCTCTCCCCTTAGCAGAAAAACACCCCCAAAGCATGTTTCCATCTCCATGTTTGATGGTGGGGATGGTGTTCTTGGGGTCATAGGCAGCATTTCTTCTTCTCCAAACACAGCGAGTTGAGTTGATGCTAAAGAGCTCGATTTTGGTCTCATCTGACCATAACACTTTCACCCAGTTCTCCTCTGAATCATTCAGATGTTCATTGGCAAACTTCAGACAGGCCTGTACATGTGCTTTCTTGAGCAGGGGGACCTTGCGGGCGCTGCAGGATTTCAGTCCTTCACGGTATACTATGTTACTAATTGTTTTCTTGGTGACTATGGTCTCAGCTGCCTTGAGATCATTGAAAAGATCCTCCCGTGTAATTCTGGGCTGATTCCTCACCATTCTTATGACCATTGAAAGTTCACAAGGTGAGATCTTGCATGGAGCCTCAGACCGAGGGAGATTGACAGTTATTTTGTGTTTTTTCCATTTCCGAATAATCAAACCAACTGTTGTCACTTCTCACCAAGCTGCTTGGCGATAGTCTTGTAGCCCATTCCAGCCTTGTGTAGGTCTATAATCTTGTCCCTGACATCCTTGGACAGCTCTTTGGTCTTGGCCATGGTGGAGAGTTTGGAATTTAATTGATTGATTGCTTCTGTGGACAGGTGTCTTTTATACAGGTAACAAGCTGAGATTAGGAGCACTTCCTTTAAGAGAGTGCTCCTAATCTCAGCTCGTTACCTGTATAAGACACCTGGGAGCCAGAAGTCTTGCTGATTGATAGGGGATCAAATACTTATTCCACTCATTAAAATGCAAATCAATTTATAACTTGTTTGAAATGCATTTTTCTGGATATTTTGTTGTTGTTATTCTGTCTCTCATTGTCAAAACAAACCTACCATTAAAATTATAGACTGATCATTTCTTTGTCAGTGGGCAAATGTACAAAATCAGCAGAGGATCAAATAATTTTTTTCCTCACTGTAGTTGCTAAATCAGGGGCCATGTTGCCAAATGTATATGTCATGAGCCAGGAGTTTACTGAATGTTCCATATCTGTCAAAATTTGACATGTTTAATCTGTTGTTTAAATAAAAACCTAGTTCAAACATTACCTCATTTATTACCTGAAAGATTAAAAAGAAACTATTTCTATGCAAATCTCACTCATTAATTCTGAAACTGCAACATATTTACTATTTTAAATAGAATTTCCATGATTAAGATTCTGAGAGACATTTCATTTTTTTCCCTTCCACTTAGATTGTTGCATCCTTCAGGAAAAATAAGATTACTTGATGTTGGCAGCTGTTTTAATCCATTTTTGAAGTTTGAAGAGTTTCTGACTGTTGGTATTGATATTGTCCCAGCTGTTGAGGTATGAAATATTAACAATGCAAATCATAAAATGTATTACTTATACAATGGTTGCTAATCTTACAATTCCCTTTTGATTAATATCTGCTAGTATAGTTTTGAGGTTGAAAGTGAATATGTTAATAAATAGTTAAGCTCAAGGTATGGACAGATGACTGAAAACTTCAGCTTTACTAGTGTATATCTAAAGCCGTTGCTTAGGTTATAGTACCACCACGATGTAAAAAAGATGTTGAGACTCTAGAAAGAGTACAGAGAAGAGCAACAAAGATGATTAGGGGACTGGAGGCTAAAACATATAAGGAACGGTTGCTGGAATTGGGTATGTCTAGTTTAACAAAGAGAAGGACGAGGGGGGACATGATAGCAGTGTTCCAATATCTCAGGGGCTGCCACAAAGAAGAGGGAGTCAAGCTATTTTCCAAAGCACCTGAAGGCAGGACAAGGAGCAACGGGTGGAAGCTAACCAAAGAGAGAAGCAACCTAGAACTAAGGAGAAACTTCCTGACAGTTATAACAATTAACCAGTGGAACAACCTGCCTCCAGAAGCGGTGAATGCACCAACCCTGGAAGTTTTTAAGAAGAAACTGGACAGCCATTTGTCCAAAATGCTATAGGGTTTCCTGCCTGAGCAGGGGGTTGGACTAGATGACCTCCAAGGTCCCTTCCAACTTTATCATTATTATTATTATAGTATGGTTAAAGCTTGAGTACTCAGTGATGTGCCACATAGTTGTATTTCACTACTGGAATTTGCAATATTTCCTGTATTATTTTCAATGTCATCGTTCATTGTTCTCATGCTTCACAAAATAACATATATTTTGGAGGGAGAGTCAAGATATCATAATTAATAAAGTAGTCTTCTTACAAAACAAGACCTTCTGCTTTCCTTTTTTCCTCCTCCCCTCCAAATCTCTGCTTTGTAGAAACTTCAGATTTTGAGAATATAGTGGGGCTAAAGGAGAAATTCTGTACACAAAAAAATAATCAAAATTTATTCATAAGTACATATTTTATTACATATTCCCTTTTCTTCATATAGGCAAAAACACACCTACATTACCTGAAACCAGTGCATGCTGCTTAACTTAAAAAAATTATACTCAGATAAAAATGTAATTAATTGATCAATGAAAAATTCTATTGCTGATTTTAAGAATTCTTTAACTGAGTTATCTTATTTACTTGTTTTCCAAGTATATCATTGCATCTATATTTCTTCCCCCAGAGTGTCTACAAATGTGACTTTTTAAACCTTCAGATTCATCAACCTCTTCAACTTGCACAAGATGCCATTGATGCTTTTTTGAAACAGTTGAAGAATCCTATTGATTCCCTGCCTGGAGAACTATTTCATGTTGTGGTCTTTTCCCTCCTCCTTTCTTATTTCCCTTCACCCTATCAGCGGTGGATATGTTGTAAAAAGGCCCATGAACTACTTGTATTAAATGGATTGCTCCTTATTATCACTCCTGACTCTTCCCATCAGAATCGCCATGCTATGATGATGAAAAGCTGGAAAATTGCTATAGAATCTTTAGGGTTTAAACGTTTCAAATACTCAAAATTTTCTCATATGCATTTGATGGCCTTTAGGAAAATCTCACTCAAAACAACAAGTGACTTGGTGAGCAGGAACTACCCAGGGATGCTATACATTCCCCAGGATTTTAACACTGTGGAAGAGGAGGAATTTTCTAATAATTCCTGCTATATCCGATCAGATGTTGAAGATGAACAACTGGCCTGTAGCTTCATGGAGCTTCCAGATGCTCCTTATGATTCGGACTCCGGAGAAAGCCAGGCTAGCTCTATACCCTTCTATGAACTAGAAGATCCTATATTGCTTCTAAGTTAATGTAACAATTAAAATCTGCTTCAGAGTCCAAACTCCCTTTCCCGTAAAACTAATTTTGCAAAATTGACATCTGCTCTGCACATGAAGCATTTAGAAAAAAGAAATGCTAAAGATTTTGAAAACTATTGCTATTTTTTTGTACTTATAAATTTTAAAATGTATTCTTGTATTGAAAAATTAACATGTGTTTTATGCAGTATGACTCATGTCGTATCATGAACAGGGTTTACTTAGTAATATTCTAGAAAGATACCTTTCCCTTCCAGTGCTGTGAACTGTGATTATGCATTCTATGCTGATGTGCCCTGGTTTGATACTTTTAATGCTTTTGATTGAGATTCATGATAGCATTTCTGAGGTTTGCACAAAATAGATGATATGCACTGTTAATTGTCTAAGAAATATGTTTAGAAAGCTTTGTTAGCCTTGAACTTGAACAAAGGTTTTGCTTGAGTTAATGTTGATCTGGTCAGTGAAAATAACTGCAAAATCACTTCACTTAAGTTGTATTTGCAACTGGAGTACTTTAACAAAATACAGATCCTGTTATCTGTGCAATTCAGTATACTATATAATATACATAAGCATAAACAGGTTTCTTTTAGTTACCTCACAACTTGTGTATTCGTGCCATTGTTTCAATTTCACTGCTTTACCAAGTTTTCTTAAATTAATATGTTTATCCTAAACATATATAAACATTTTAGGCAATGGGAGAAAATAGAAGATTGTTGCTTAATTCTCTGTCTAGATGTCAGGTTAGATAGCTAATCTGCATATGAAGACAATAAGTTAAAAAATTAAGATTAATTTCATTCATTCGAGTTAAAAATGAGCAATAAAACATTTTGTTTTAAGAACAACTCCAACATTTCCATTCTTAGCTGCCCCAGAAATTTACTAATATCTAAAGATCGTTTCCTGATTTAATAACTGATTAAATAATTTATGTTTGCATATCTGAATGAGGATGTAGCCAATATATTTTGAAATACACAAAAGAGAAATCTAAAAAACAAAATAGTTTTACAATTTCAGAAATGATAGTATTAATATTAATCATTCATTTCAGGAAGTCCACTGCTTAGTTTCAAGGAAAGTATTTATGAAAGGTATTTAAAAAAAAATTACAATGCTTTTACCACTAAATTTTTGCACAAAAGTTTCACAACTGACTTTTAGGTTTGCTTTTTACCTTGTGTGTTGAGTAATTCATGGAATAAACCTTATATGTTAAACCTTATCTAAATGCATTCATTGGTGAGACATGAACTAAATAAAAGACCGCAATTTTTAGCTCCAAAATCAGATTGGCAAACCATTTACTCCACAGATAAAGCAAAATGGAGTGTGAATGAGCTATATATGTAAAAACGGTGCTAGAAAGTTTGCAGCCAACATGTTACATCCTCAGCAACTTTTTTCAGTTCCATAACTATATGCTAGCCAGGCAAACGTTTCCTACTTCTAATTAAAAATTCATTTTAACTAGAATTTAAAAGCTTGCTCCTTTTATATTGTTGGACTAGTTTAAAAATCTGTTAGTTTTACCATCTTCCCATAATATTGTTTCCTGTTTATGTATCCAGACTATGCATGATGCACTGTTTAATTAGCAAAAAGTTCTCAAAATCCAATAGTACAATGCATTTATGTTGTGTGTATATATGTGGTATGCTGTTTTCCAACTCATTCTGATGCCTAATCCAGTTCAAGATATATGTAGATGAAATAGCTTCAAGTTTGAAGATTAGATATTGGCCAGTAATACCTGATGACTTTGTGAAAAATATGCTGTTTTCCTGAATGTTAGTGGATATGGTGATGTTTTAAACTACTTGCTATATTTTACTCAATATATTTTCACTGGATATACACATTTCAAGACAGCTATGTAGATCTGGCAGACGTTCCAAGAAGGTGGTTCTTGAAAACACCAAGAGGTTAACCTAGGACTAACAAGGAAGATATCCTTTTCAAGTATACCACAAAATGTCTCATTTTTTTATGTTCTCAGAGCACATCAGGAGAAAACATCGATTTTCTGAATAGTGTTGATGTATACTATTTCATTCAATTTGCCTTTAATGATCAAGACAGCAAAACTGCCATTGTTACATTATTAATAGAGAATTTGAGAATATAAAATAATATTTTATAACAAAGCCATAATAATGCTTGGTTATATTTATACACAATCTTGAGAGCAACTGTTTATACAGATCAGTACTAACATAATCAAATATTACCTTCAATGGAAGACTGAGTTAACATTCTGTGGCTTGCTTTGTTGGTTGTACCCTGGTTTTTGATTTTTAAATATGTTTACAAAGTAGTGTAATGTTGGCATCTAGCCAATAATAGCTTATTCAACAACTGAGATTAAACTGGCTTGTTACACTATGTTGTACCTCTTTGAAAACATGCTTAACTTTCAGTTGTTCTTTAGGATTTTCATATTTCTGTGTTTAAAAAATATTAATATCAAGCATCAATTGCAATTCATTCAATCCAGTATATTTGCTCTTCATTAAAATGTTGAACTCTTATGTACTTCCAGCATCTATGAATAAGTCTGCCTTTTGTCACTAGTTTTTACTCCTTTTGTTCAAATAGTTAATACATTTTCGAGGCGAGAAATGACACTGATGTTTAAACAATTTATAAAGTGGTACAATGAAAAAAAATATTTGTAAAAAGCGTTCAATGCAGCAGTCTTATTTCTCATTTTAATTTTTTTTAGTTCTTTGGTTACTCACAACTAGATGGATTCGTAGCTGGCTGATCGGCCATACTCAGCGTGTGGTCGTCAATGGAACTGCATCTACATGGAGGGAAGTGTGTAGTGCGGTGCCCCAGGACTCTATTCTGGCTGGCCCAGTGCTCTTCAACATCTTCATCAATGATTTGGATGAGGGGATAGATGGGGAACTCATCAAATTTGGAGATGACACTAAGCTGGCAGGAATAGCCAACACTCCAGAAGATAGGCTTAAGATACAGAAGGATCTTGACAGACTTCAACATTGGGCGCTATCTAATAAAATTAAATTCAATGGTGAAAAAAGTAAGGTTCTACATTTAGGCAAGAAAAACCAAATGCACAGGTATAGTATAGGTGGTACCTTGCTCAATAGTAGCAACTGTGAGAGGGATCTTGGAGTCCTAGTGCAGGGCTTTTCAACCGGTAGTACGCGTACCACTTGTGGTACATTAACGAGTGGCAGGTGGTACACAGCCCTGCCTAGCCAAGTGTAGTGGGGGAGGGAAAGAGCCAGCACAGGCAAGGACTTACTGTGAGAGAGTCCTCTGGAGCTGCAGAGTGGCTGGGGTGAGGCAAAGGCCCCAGGCTCACTTCTGGCTCACCCTCCCCCATGAGAAAGGAGGAGGAGAGGGCAGAGACAGGAGAGGCTATAAAAGGAGGCAGTTTGGGCAGGAGAGGGAGGGAGAAAAAAAGCAGCAGCCTTGGGAGGAGGCGGAGTCAGCTCTAGCACCGAAGGGAAAGAAGAAGGAGGGAGGAGAGGAGATCAAGCAGGCTGGCCATCAGCCGATCTACAACTGCTGTGGCAGCCACCTGTGCTGGCCGCAGCAAACAGACAAGAAATGCAGTGTGGGAGGGGTCGCCCTCCACGACGAATGACAAGCAGCAATGGCTGGAGGTGAGGCATGGAGGAGGGAGGGGGATGGAGAGTGGAAGGATTCTTATGTGCTTTTGTGACTTTGAAGTTCTGGGATTTGTGCAATGTGGACTTTGTGTTCTTAAGGAGTGTTTGGCAATTTCTATTTGGCTGATGGCTGATGTCTTGTGTTAGCTTCTATTGCTCTACTATTGTTAGCTGTAAGTTTTGTGGCAAGGGATTTTGAAGTATTTTTCTCCTGAATGGATTTTGCCTGTAGTATTCCTTTACTTATGAATGGAGCCATTTGGGGAGGCTGCCTTAGCCAGCAGCCAATACTTACATTTTTTTTTCTTCCTTAAGTACCCGCTGCGCTCCTTAACTTTTCTTTCTAGCCAGTAGCTAATTCTTAAAGGGGATTGTGCCTTTTTAAGCTAGTTCACTCAGCAGTTTGTCTTTTCTGTCTCTGGAGGCTTTTCCTTGTTTGATTAATATATGGAAGAGAGAAAATATGGGGGTGGGGTTCAAATTCTTCCTTCAGAAGGAAGTGGGCATGAGAAAGAGGGCGGGAGGCAGAGAGGGAAGTCCCGCTTTAGCACTTGGCCACCAGCAGCCCAGCCATTGATGCTTATCAAAAGGTTGCAAAAGGGGATCACATGATCCTGGGACATTGTGACCATCATAAATATGAATTAGTTGCCAAGCATCCAAATATAAATCACATGACCCTGGGCATGCTGCAATGGCCATAAGTGTGAAAAATGGTCATAAGTCATTTCAGTGCAATTGCAACTTTGAACGGGGGTTTTTTTTTGGTCAAGTTTTTGACACCTTGCAATCGGTGAAAAGGTTGAAAAGTCCTGTCCTAGTGGACAATCACTTACATATGAGCCAGCAGTGTGCTGCAGCTGCCAAAAAAGCCAACACAGTGCTAGGCTGCATTAACAGAGGGATAGAATCAAGATCACGTGAAGTGTTAATACCACTTTACAATGCCTTGGTAAGACCACACTTGGACTACTGCATCCAGTTTTGGTCACCACAATGTAAAAAAGATGTTGAAACTCTAGAAAGAGTACAGAGAAGAGCAACAAAGATGATTAGAGGACTGGAGGCTAAAACATATAAGGAATGGTTGCTGGAATTGGGAATGTATAGTCCAGTGGTGGCGAACCTATGGCACGCGTGCCAGAGGCGGCACGCGGAGCCCTCTCTGGGCACGCGCCATCGCCCCAGCACACATCTCTAAAAGTTCGCCATCACTGGCCTAAGGCCAGCCAGCCTGGAGCCGCCATTGGGGAGCCCACCATCCCACCCGCCAGAGACCCCCTGGATCTCCCCCAATCCTGCCCGGCTCCCACAGGTGTCCATTCCCATAAGCAACATCAAGGTGGCCATGCCCACCCTAGCCATGCCCACCCAATCTGCCATGACTACTGCAGCCACACCCATCCAGTGGCCACGCCCACCCAGTCTGCCAAGCCCACTGTAGCTGCACCCGCCGAGTGGGCCACACCCACCCGGCACCTGGCGATACATAAGTGAGTTTGGGGTTGCAGTTTGGGCACTCGGTCTCTAAAAGGTTTGCCATCACTGGTATAGTCTAATGAAGAGAAGGGCAAGGGGTGACATGATAGCAGTGTTCCAATATCTCAGGGGCTGCCACAAAGAAGAAGGAGTCAAGCTATTCTCCAAAGCACCTGAAGGCAGGACAAAAAGCAACAGATGGAAACTAATCAAGAAGAGAAGCAACCTAGAACTAAGGAGAAATTTCCTGACAGTTAGAACAATTAACCAGTGGAACAACCTGCCTCCAGAAGCTTTGAATGCTCCAACACTGGAAGTTTTTAAGAAGAGACTGGACAGCCATTTGTCTGAAATGGTATAGGGTTTCCTGCCTGAGCAGTGGATTGGACTAGATGATCACCAAGGTCCCTTCCAACTTTATTATTATTGTTATTATTAATTATTATTATTCATTAGACATAAACCTCAGTCAACTGAACATTCAAATTGACTGGTGCTGATGGTTGACACGGGTTGCTGCCAGCATCCTAGATATCAACCAGGTACCTCCTTAAAATGTAAGATGTTCCAAGTAGCGCAAGTTTTTTGTAGCATTGCTGGAGTTATTGCAGGAAGCTGCAGTTTCTTGAAATATTTTGCAAAGTTTTTGGACATAGTTCCCAGTGCCCCGATGACAATGGGTATCACTGTTACACGTTTCATCCATAATCGTGCAGTTTCGATGGCCAGGTCGCGATATTTCGTAATTTTATCCAGTTCTTTTTCTTCAACTTTGGCATTTCCTGGTACAGCAATATCAATCAGCTGTACACTTCGGTTCTCTACAACTGCGATATCTGGTGTGTTGTGTTCCAAATGGCGATCTGTCTGTATTCAAAAGTCCCACAAGATCTTCACCCTCTCATTCTCAACAACTTTTTCCACCCTATGTTCCCATGACTTTTCAGATACAGGCAAGTTGTATTTTTTACACAATGCCCAGTGGATTAATTTAGCAACTTGGCCATGTCTAGCTTTGTAGTCAGCTTGTGTGATTTTGCTGTACTCACATATTAGATGTGAAACAGTTTCAACTTTGTCATTGCAAAGTCGGCAATTTAGATTGTCAGTGAATTTTTGTATTCTCGCTTTCATGGCATTAGTTGTGCTTGTTCTTGAGCAGCCAGTATTAAGCCTTCCGTTTCTTTCTTGATGGTTCCCATCTTAAGCCATGCCCATGTCAAGTTGTTATCACATTTTCCTTTAATATTTTTCAAATGCTGCCCATGCAAAGCTTTGGTTTTCCATCTATTTAATCTGTCATCCAGCCGTTTTTCCTTATATTCTGCCTTTGTTTCTGTTATTTTTATAATGCTTTTTTGTTTCTGTTTTCACAGCCTGCAGCAGTTTTTCTGTACTTTGATTCACATAGTCCAATGATGGCTAACCTTTTAGAGACCGAGTGCCCAAACTGCAACCCAAAACCCACTTATGCATCGTCGGGTGCCGGGTGGGTATGGCCCATTGGTTGGGTATGGCCCATTGGCTGGGTGTGGCCCATTGGCTGGGTGTGGCCCATTGTGTAGGTGTGGCTGTGGTGGTAATGGCAGACTGGGTGGGACTAAAAAGTTCAATCAATTCCAACTTTGCAAGATCTTTTTTTTCCCCACGAGAAGTTGAAATTGACTGATTGATTGAACCTTTTTTTTGCATATGGCGGCGGAGGCCTAAAGCGAAAAGGTTTTATAAAACCCAGCTGAAGGCCTAGGACTGGGGCGACGGCGCGCATGCCCACAGAGAGGGCTGTGAGTACCGCCTCTGGCACACGTGCCATAGGTTCGCCACCACTGACATAGTCATTCAAACTTCATTTTTCTTCTTCTACAGTTTGGTGGATTTGCAATAGCCCTCTGCCCCCTATTTTTCTTGGCAGATACAACCTGTCGGTGTCACTTCGTGGATGTAGAGCGTGGTGCATATTCAAAAGTTTACGTGTTTTCCGGTCTAAATTTTCCAGTTCAGCCAAAGTCCAGTTGATAATTTCAGCTGGGTAACATATCACTGGGACTGCCCATGTATTAATGGCTTTAATTATGTTTCCAGCATTCAGCTTTGATTTGTTATTTTCTTTTTATCCAATGTTTCTAGATGTTGCATTTCCACATCTGTAAAAACTTTATTACGAATGATGTAACGTCTTTGATCCATTAATCGTTCAGTTACGTCACTTTCCGGATGTTTTTCCTTCCACAGTTGCATCATTTTTTTAAAAATTCCCTGGCTGTTGGTTCTGCCTGGTAGTAGCATTGGATGATTTCTCGATTTTCTTCGGTTGCGCTTTTGTTCCAGTCGCTTTACAGTTGTTTGCTCTGGTTCCCCAGCAGTAGCAACTGAGCCCTGTGGCCCATTTTTTGACAGATGTCCTGGAGCCATAGCATC